ACATGACTAAAGACTGTGTGTACGCTATCCCGTGCAGCTGCAGAAAGGAATATAAAGGAGAGACAGGCCACCCCCTTAAGGTAAGGCTTCAAGAACACCAGAAAGCTGTAACATGAGGGGAAGTAGAAAAATCAGGCATGGCTGACCACATATGGAGAGAGAAGGGAGATCACCGCCCTCTGTGGGATATGTTGAGATCATAGACAAGGAACACCATTGGAAAATTCAAAACTTAAGAATCAGCACATATGCTAGGCCACAAAAATCTCCTGAGCCGACCAAGCATAGAAATAAATACAATATGGGAACCAGTAATAAGGAGTGCCAGAGAAAAGCAATGATAACAACAAAGTTGCAATATGAGCTCTGGTAAAAATATGAATGATAACAGCAAAATTGCAATATGAGAACTGGTAAAAATGGTTGCTGAAGACATTAGGTTTATAATACCCAGAAATTCATACCCAGATGTCCTCAAGGACACATGGTAAGCATGGCGTTGGTTAGATCCAGTGACAGGACCCAAAGAGAGTGAGTTCAATACCCGGTTAAGGCAGTGGAGAACTTACAGAGGGAAATTAACAGGAGATAACTGATAACTGACATCCATCAAACATGGCATGTGGAACTAGAACAGTCTACCCCAGTGAGCGAAATAAAGGGTTCAGTTCGACATTCCAACCACCTGAAGAAGGCCGGAGCGTACAATGGCGACAAAGATGAGTACAATAGTCCAAATAATATCAAAATTTTGTATTTTTCAAATCATTTCCAAACAAGTAGATTTACATTATATCTCTGTGTAGTTACAGTTAGCTCCTCCTCAATTCCTTAATCCTTCACCAGGGGTCTCTCTCTCCCCTGGCTATAAATACTGGGTGACCCTTTGCCTCAATCTCTTTTTTCCCCTTAGGCCTTGAGCCTTATACCACCTCGTGTTGATGAGGTGGGGTAATTCTTTTCTCTTCATTTCAGCTAATATCAATATGTGAGCTCTCACTAATACAGCGTTTTCCAAATTCTGGGAACACGCTAAGTACAATACCAATACATATACGTACGAACACTCACCACAATACACACACATACTATTCACCACACAAACTCAATGTAACTGTCCATGTGCTTGTAACGTGTTGTTAATACATATATTTGTTTACATATAATTATCGGTCTTGTTTGTTTTCTTTGTCTTCTTTGGACTTAATTAAAGTCCAACATTCTCAGGTAGCTGGACCGGCTGGCAGGAAATTTTAAGCCATGTGTGTTCTTCACATCCTCATCACCCAATGATCCTCTACACTGAGCTTTATATGGTGATACTGTGATAAACTTTGGTGTGATGAGAGTCCAGGGTATACAGGATTTCTCATGGCATTGGAGACACAAGCCAATTTGAGATTGTGTTAGACTTTTGGTCCTTGAGAGGTTTGGATGGTGATTTCAGAAAATTGCTGAGTATGTTGAACATAATGCATTGGTGATATTTCAGTGTTGGCAACTGTGATGAACTGAGATGATGGGTAATGTTTCATTCCTATTTTGCTTGGGGATGTAAGTGGTGCCAATGTCTTGTATGTAGTTTCTTTTTCCCTGTAGTGAAAGAGAGAATCACCTACCTTGAAAAAGAGTTTGTGTTTTGTAGTCAATCGGCTGAAGAAAGATTAAAGAAAAAGTAGTTAGCAAAAATCTGCTACTCTAAGTATCAGAATCTATGCTAACGTTCTTTCCTCCCCTGAATGGCATGGCTGATCAGAGAAATCGCTCAGTGAGTAAAAGCCATTTTTTTTTGCTTACCGGCAGTACGATTTTTTCTGAGTTTGGTAGATGAATGTGTGTTTCTGCTGGTGAGGAATGATGGTTGGATTTATGACCCCATTTTGTCGTTACTATGTTGCCTGTTGGAATGTTACGATGGACTCTCATTTGAACTGTGAATTGGCTTCAAGTATTCAGGATGAGAAACAGAAGAAAGTATTGTTGGCATTTATTACTAAAATAAGTTTACATTTTTTTTTCTCTTTTCTCTACAACATTCCACAAACACTTCCAAGCTATGTGACCAATTCTGTTGCAATGGTAGCAGCATCCACTAGGCTAAAGAGGTTGGGTTTCAGATGCCACTTATGTGATCATAAGATCGAATATGAATAATTACCTAGGTTAAATGAACATGATGATTTATGTGTAGTTGGCCATTTGCAATGTGGAAATTGCGCTTACACGAGTATAATGCTTATAATGCTATTGACTGATGAATATTCAGGAGTTTGATGTGTATTTAAGGAGTCGCTTAAATAAGCCATTGATTGTTTCACAATTTAAGGTGTTGGAATGAGTTATTTTTCTTTCCTCAGCAGCAAATGTTTTGAAGTCTCTCTCTATGTTTGTGTTGTAACCTACGAAAGGTTACTGAATGAGGAATAACTAAAACAGAGGTTGGAAATGAAATGGTAATCTTTATCAGATCAACAAAATACAATACTCGTCAGCGGCATGAAGTAGGTAAACCACTGCTAGTGGTGAACTACTTCGACAGTATATTACCACCCTTACAATAGTATCCAACATATTTATGAGGATTGAGGAATACACATTAGTGTTCATAGGTATGGCATATAACAGTTTGCATCATAGAATTGACCTGATAATAGAAACATGGATCAAACATTAATATATCCTTAGAGCAGGTTCTGGATAGCCATACATTACAAACACTTGCCAAGGTTGATTCACTGTAAGGGTAACAATGGCAGACCACATAGTATTCCTCAATATAGATATGAGCAAATATGACCTCAGGGATTGCATGCCTTGAGTCAGACTTTCTCTTATACCACTGCACCATTGTGCAATATACTGGTCTCCATTGATGTTGTGAGATGGAATGCTGCTCTCTAGTACTTACCGATGGAAGCAAGATCTATCTTTATGACAGCAATGGTTGTTTGCATGTGCAACATAGATATAAGGAGTGAAATCTTCTTGAGTTTATTCATCAGTGATATACAGGCCCATCCCTGGAATCATAGTGTAGGGTTTGCCATAAGTTACAACTTTTGTTCATCTTTGATGTTTGTCAAGAAAATGTTAAACAGTGTCATGTTTAGCCTTTCCTGCAGTAGGAAAACAATGTGCTGTTCCACAAGTTTAATGCCTGCCTATATGATGGCCAAGCTACTCAACATGCTCTAAGAGTGGTTTGTCAAATCTGCTCCCATTTATAAAGTATATAAGACATAAGGAAACACCACCCAACTTACTCAGTTTTTCCCAACTACAATTCCTTTTGGATTACGACAACAAAGGAAAGAAGCGTGAAATAATTCATTGTAGGATGGTATGTGCTGTTTGTAAAAACATTTTTTTATATAAACTGCTAAACCATTTTTTTTATTTCTTGTGTTTCATATTTTCTTTGGATAACTTTACTTTTGATGATTTTAAAAAAAACAGAAATCTTTGTTGCATGAGACAGTAGAATTATTTTTATTAATAAAAATCCTTGAATATTCATGTATAAAACCTAAATATTTTGATGCTATGGATAAACTAATAAAGGCATAATCATATATTTTAAATATTTTGAAACAAGTATTTTTGTTAATTTTACATTATTAACTGCTTGATTGTATCTTATAAAATAATTCTGTATAATCATTGATTACAGATAATACACACACACACACACAACACAATTTCAGATAGAGTACAGAGTGCGATGGATAAATTGTCGCAATTTTATATTTTTAATTTTGTGCAAGTGCAGGTGCTTGTTTTTGATTTTGTCAACTGTATGGTATAGTATGGTCAGTTGGGCTCTGACTGTGAGAAAAAGTGTACCATAGCGCAATTCACTCTGCTAGAAATTTGGAAATGGTATGCCAGGAGCTCCAATACAAACATTTCAGAGTGTTTGGATATCAATCTGAGGACAGTGCAGAGGGTTTGGAAAGAGTTGGATGAGTTTAATGGTGATTACAAAGGTACGGTAGCTCGGAAAACTCACTCCGATCGTCTGATAAGAAAAGAACACAGAAGCCTACATCAAGTGTTTTGAAGAGGTTGTGCTGTCCTGGGTGAAGAGTTTGTGCTGCTGGAAGACCCTATATCTGGCAACAGGACTCTGCACCATGCTACACAAGCAGGAGAATCCAGTCATGGCTGTCAGACAAATTTCTGCAGCCACTTCACCCCTTACATCTGGCCACCTAACTCTTCAGACTGTAACCCATTTGATCATTATGTGTGAGGCAAAGTCAAGTGAGAGATCACCAAAATTCCTTGTAACACCAAAGATGAACTGAAGGTAAGGATTATGGCAGCATTCACCAACTTGGAGATTGCCCAGATGAGTTGCAAGAGATTCCAAAGTCATCTGGAGATGGCCTCCAGATGATTTTGGAATCTCTTGTTGAAGACAGTGGCAATTTTATTGAATAAATTTAATCTTTAGTATTTCAAGATATTTTTGTGTAATTTTGTTAAGTATATTTGTTGTCAGTGTTATTCATTTTAGCATAATTTAGACAATTTATCGATCACACCCTGTATGTTAAAATGTTCAGTTTTAAATTGATAAAGTCCCTCAGAGAACAAAATGCAAACATCCAAGAAATATAAAAACCAGTGTCCACATATAAAAATAGAATCCCTTCCCAGATGTTCTAGTAGATACTAATAATGATTTTATTATTTCAATATGTATAATAAAAAAAAAAAAAACACTAGTAAAAATTCATGTCTCCTTAAATATAAAAGTGAACATCCCCCCCCACGCACACACATGCACTACTAATCTCATTAATTATTTTTACTGGCACCATATGTAGACTTAATTTGCCTTTAAGATTTAAAATATTTTGTATATATCATTAGTATTGAAATTTTTTTTATTAAAGATTATCGTGAGTTGTTTTTTTTTTTTTTTTTTTTTTTTTAGATAAATAAAAATGAAAAAAGAAAAGTTCTTTTTCATTTTAATTTTTTGTTTTAAAAAAATATAATAAGGCCAATATTCAAAAATTAATTTGTAAGTTTTAAAAATACAAATGTAATTTCATTTTATTTTCAGTAAATAAATAAAACTGCTTTTAATTCACCTAAATATCATGACCACTTGTAGCTACTTGATAGAGGTACTTAGAAAATTGACTAATCATGGAAATTTGACTTGCTACCTGCTAAGTATAAAGGAAAACATTTTCTTGGGTTTCTGTCTGAATTTTTAGGATAAGGAGTTATCATTATTTAGACTATTTACACTCGGACTATTGTCCTTTTTTTGTTGTCATTAGAATGATTTAGACCGTTGTCCTCTGACCTGAAGGTGTATGTCAATCCTGGTAAGGTATAGGAAATTTTGAACAGAACACTGTTGGAAAATATTTGCCGCAAATTAATTTAAGGAATGCTGATTTTAAATTTACTATATAGTTATTGCTCTTATTTTCTGATAATGTTGAGTATGGTCAACCATACTTTCAAACAGGAGAATGTTACGTAATACATAAAAAAAAATTTTTTAATTATTTTTAAAACCTTCATGCAAAAAAAAAAAAACAATATTTATTAAACTTTTCAATTTGATTCGTAAATATGTTTCATTTATTAACAATGTCACCTAAAATACATTAATGCAGAATTTTAAATGATTTATAAATTTAAAATAAAAAACAATGAAAACAATTCTTGTAAAAAAAAAACTCATTATTTATCAAAAACAAAATTTTTCTTAAGACAATAGTGTCCTTAAATCTTATTTACAAAAGCAATTAAAAACTTCTCTAATAATGTCATATTTTTATTATATTTTCTATTTTACGATTCAGAGCAGATTTTCAGGAAATAAGTAGTAGTTTGGAAAAAAAAAAAAATTATTCTCCAAGGAGTCCTGCTTTTTTTAACTGATAAAAAATTTTTATACATATTTTAATTTCTCAAAATTTCATGAAATTAAGTAAGTGGGGGAACGTGTGGAAAAAAAAAAGTTTTCTAAAAAAAAAAAAAAATTTCAAAAATAATTTCATTTGTGAAAAATTCCTAAAAGTTTCATTTAAAATCCAACAATTATTTGATTTTTGCAAGATTTTATTTTTTCAAATAAATGTGTTTTTCACCTGAAAAAAGGTGCTAAAACACGAATCGTAAATATTACGTCAAATGCTGACAACAAAAAAAAAAAAAAAAAAATTTTTAACCAAAATTTCGAACGTAAAGGATTAGAACAAAATTAATAAAAAAATACTTTGGTCTTTCTTTACTTTTAATAATAAACAAACATTTTGACGATAAAACTTTGTTTTTAAGTTTGGGTCCGAAAAAGTGGAGGTACCTAAATGTAAGTAAATTTTCCAAAAAGATTTATTTCGTAAGAATATTATTGAGACTTCTTTTTATAAATGTTAAAAAGAAAATAGTTTCTGTTTATTTAATCAGCTTTGAAACGATTGAGGGTGTGACAGAGATTGGAAGCAATTTTTTTTGTTTTTGGCCTCTGAAAATATTTGTACATTAATTTTTGTAATTTTCTCAACTTAGTTTGTCACAAGGTTATGCACAATAGTCCATCAAGTGGAGATCGAACTCACAACTCAATTGTAATTATCTGCGAGCTCACCATTCATTACACAACTGTGAAGCGCGTATATTTGTTTATAACTTGATGTTGCACACGTGAAATAATGATTAAAGGGACACAATTCATAAATCTTAATGATTTAGAGTAACCTCCCTTTTGACATCCAGTCACAATTTATTGGACCCCAGATGCATGTAACTGTTTGTGTATTTTTGGCTTGATTAATAATTATCATGAAGAATTTAATTACAAATATAGATCTTTTTACATTTTTATAAATTTACTCTGATAGATTTTAGACTGATATTATAGATTCTGTGAATGAGAAATCGACAAAGAACCTTTAGTGCTGAAAAATGTCCTAAATTTAGATTACGATAATGAACCAAACCAAACTAATATTTAATCTCATATTTAAATTGAATGTGATTTGAACTTAAAAAAAAGAATAACACTCACCAGTGATGTTAAAAAAACATTATCCTTTTGAATGGAAAAGTAGAGAAAAACAAAAAAGGCAAAAGTAATACCCCCACTAAAAAAAAACAACAAAAAAACAATCTCTTATATGAACTTATCTTCTCTCTCACTCCAAGCTCAGCACTCTTGCTCTTTTTCTTTCTTTCTTTCCTCTCCTCTTGTTCTATAAAAAAAACATGGTTTATTTCCAAGTAGAAATTCTTCCAGTAATAAACTAAGCATTTAAATAATTATGATCTGAAAAGTCAATAATTGTAAAATTATTTAAAAAAAAAAAAAAAAAAAAAATAAGAAATAAAACTAAGAGGTTGTTGTAGAGTAGTTTCACAGTGGAGGCTTGTATTTGTACTAAGTTGGTCCTAAAATAGGTTCGACGTACAAAACGTTAGGAACTTGATATAATAGGTAATGACGCAGTAATCTAGTTGTGGTGGCTGATACTTTAATATCTGACTAACGATCGTCCGACATCGACTGACTGACCAACTCACTGAGCCCTCAGCGACTGTTACTACTCCTACTTATTATAGGTGGGAGAGTCTATTAACAATAGAATAGGTATGTTCCACTATAACAGAGGTGGTGGGTAGATTTGATAAATTTTTTTGCTTTTCTTGCAGGTTTGCAGAGCTTGAAAATTATTCATCCTTAAAATTCCGTCCAACCTCTGAAAGCTACTGTGATGTTACTATAGATAAACCTACGTTTTTTGTTAAATTGGATGTTGGTAAGTAGTTCCTCAATGATTTCTTTTCCTTTTGTTCACTGTTACATTTTAATATTGTTTTCCCCATTTCAAAATCACTGAATATTTTTGGTTATAACTGCTTGTAATTGTTTTTCAAACTTTATCATTAGAACATATTGAAGAACTTAAGACTTAAAACAAAGAAAACATAAACTCAAATATATCATTGAATTATTTTAGAATTGATGAATTTAGCTGAAGTTTTTTTGTTTTTTTTTTAATTGAAGAGATATATAATCAAAGCAAAATTTTACCTTCAATTATAAAAAAGAAAATGATTATAAAACTGATATTGTTTGACTCCAAATATTTTATGTGCTTTGTCACTTCAGGACATGAGTGATTATGTCTCTTCTTGTCTTTTATAGCAATGTTTCCCTTCTTACTATCACCCCAGTCTTTGTTCTGCTGTCTATTTATGCAAGCTTGTTTGGCAGGATACTTATTGTTTTCCTTTACCTCTTTTGCTTCAGTATGTCATATGTGTATTAAAGTCTCCAAACCCTCTCTCTTTACTGTATGTCCCAGAAATTTCACCTGTTTTTTTTTTCTGGTCTTTTTGTTCCCAGTTTCCTTAAAACTTCCTTTGTTGAGTCTGATATTTTCAGCATTTTTCTGTAGAATTAAATTTAATTGCCTCAAGTTTTCTCTTCATCTGTGAGGAAATTTTCCAGCATTCAGTGCCCGATATGACAATTGATATTACATATCAGTTCAGCACTCTTTCCTTTGTTTTGTAACAGTGTCTAGGTGTGAGTATAGATAAGGGAGCAGGTAATGCCTGTCAGTAGTTATGTGTAATGTATGACATCCTGCTTTGCTCTCAACCCACAAAATCAAGGATGTTTTGAAAATGTTTAGCCAATAATGATGACAATTTGGGAAAATGGTGTTTTGTAGTTGAAAACTCATTCTATCCAATGGTGTTATTTTACTCCTTAGATTTGTTTTAGTTTCTCTGGAAATAAATAGAAGGCATTACTTTTGGAGTATTTCTTGTTCTTAAATTGCCCAAATTTCAGAAATGAATCATTGAAGATTAGTAAGTTTTTTAAAGAATACATTCATCTTATTTATGTTGATTTCTTTTTTCTTTTATCACCAATTTTAGCAGGCATTAGTAAATCACACAGATTCTTGTTGGAAGCTTTTTCTTTGTTTTCAAAATTAAGAAAATACCAAAAATATAAAAGGACACATGGTACAGTGGATAAAGGCATTGGTTAGTGACAGGACCCAAAGAGTGTCAGTTCAATACCCGGTTAAGGCAGTGGAGAACTTTCAGAGGGAAATTAGCAGGAGATAACTGATAACTGACATCCATCAAACATGGCACGTGGAACTAGAACACTAGAACAGTCTACTCCAGTGAGCAAAATAAAGGGTTCAGTTCGAAATTCCAACCACCTGAAGAAGGCCGAAGCATACAACGGCCGAAACGTTGTGATAAATATGACGACAAAGATGACAGTAGTCCGAATAATGTATAAAAAGATTAATAATGACTTATAGAAATTCTTTGGAGCAAATATATATATATATTTTTTTTTTTTGTCTACAATGTTTATTTTCATGAAAGACAGCCATATTTTTTAGCTCAGCAAACTGGTGGGACCATCTTTTATTTTTCTTGCTAACCATTTTTGATTTCATTAAAGAAGAGATACTTCATAGAATAGTTGTCAGCCAAAAAAAAAATTTAAAAAAATGGAATTGGTAATCAAATATTTAATTTCTGTTTTGAATTTCTGGGATGAGGAGTTATCATTTAATTAATATCCTCATCTTTATTATTATTATCACAACATTTTGACTATTGCACCCTCTGATTTTCATCAGATGGTTGTCAATTCAGGGAATTTTAAATTGAGCCTTTCATTTAATCTATTGTTTTTGTTCCACTGCTAATGTCTAAGAATAGTTTGTCTAGTTTTTATTTTTAGTACTGCTCAGTTATTGTTTAGCCTGTTTTCACAGTCTCTTAAGTCTGCACTTCAATACTGCGGCTACCCAGCCCAAGTATTGAACTCATATAGCAATTGTGAGTTGTGATAACAACAACAGAGATGAGGACTATTCTGAGTGTAAATGATCCAAATAAACCTCTTGTGCTAATGGCATCCTAATATTCTGTCCTATGTTCAGTCTCCAACATCACCCGATATTGTGACATAAAACTTTGCTGTTATTGACATGCGATGATGATTGACAGAGAAGAGTGGGTGGGGTCTCCTATTACTGTTTAACCACCAAGCAGTAAAATGCTGTTCCAACCATTTTCAACATAGACAGGAATTACAAAAAATATCCATATTAGATTAAAATTTGTTGTATGGTGGAATTGGGATTCTTATACTGACTACATAAGAAATGCAAACTGAAAAAAAATGTGGAAATATTGACAAAAATTTTAGAATGCTATTGGGAAATAGCATTAATTATCAAAATTATTTATTTTCTTCCATTAATATCCATGAGATTCTTCTGTTTTAAAAAAATTTGAACGAAAACAACTCTTTCTCCACAAAAATTAGTCAACCCCTTATTTTAGATGGCTGGTCGATGTGTGCAAAATTTATTCTCTGATTTAATATTCTGGTTAATGTATTTTGCATTAAGATCTTTTATGATTTTCTGCACACAAATATTGAATAAAAAATCTTGAAAAAAAGCTGAATGATTTTACTATTTTTTTTTTTTTCTGTAGGTATTAATTTGTATCATCATTTTTGTGATTTTATCAACCTGTATATCACTCAGCACATGAATAACAGTTTTAGCACTGACGTATATATTATCATGTGGGACACGGTAAGATGATCCTTCAGCTATTCTTCTTCCTACTTGAAAATTGACAATATTTTTTACCTTTTTTTTTTATAGACATGTTAATAAACAGTAAATAAAATGCTTAAGAAAATATATTATTGCTAAAAATTTTTGCAAAGTGAAGTTCTTGTTTAATTTGTCTTGGTATTTTGTATTATGCAGAGTGCATTGAATTATGGAGATATTTTTAAGCTGACCTGGAAAGCTTTCTCCAAGCACTCGATCATACCACTGACTCAATTTGATGGCAAAAGAGTAAGTAAAATATTTGACTGAACTTCATAGTTTTATTTGTCTTGAATTTTCATCAAGAAGCATTTTTTCAAAGATATTTTAAAGATACAATTTCTTGATTATTATACATTGTGTGGCAATTTTCCCCAAAGAAAACTAGGACATTAGTGTCACCAGTGGAAAAAGACAGTTGACCTCAGATTTTTCAGAGGGCTCCAAAAATATAACAAGTAACCAGTAAAAGAAAATGGATTCTTAATAAGAATGACACAATAGAGAATTGCAAAAAACGTAATTTATTACAAACTTCAGGCATTGGCATCCTCATCTAAATTAAAAAGTGGTCTCAAATGATATATAAGTAAGTATATTTGGGCAGCAAGTATTCATCCAAGGATATATATATTAAATAAAAACAGACCACTTTAAGGTTCCATGGAACTTTAAGGTGGTCTGTTTTTATTTAAATTATTTGCTCTGGATTTACATTGAGCTCTCTGGATTTTATCCTCCTTGGGTTTACCCATATGGATTACCTAGTTTTTCATAAACTATATATATATATATATATATATATATATATATATATATATATATATATATATATATATATATATATAAAATAACTAGACTTTTAAAAAACCTCGAATTTTTGATTTGTTAATCAAATCAATTTCGAGGGAAAAAAGGTTTTAAAAAAGAAAGAGCTACAAACATAAACTTCTGCCGACAAAAAATCGCACAGATGCAGGTCTGAAGCCCAAAGAAAAACCCCGATACGAGTAACAACTAACTAACAAAAGAGCTCAATACAACCGTAGAGCAGACCTAGATACACCTAGTGAGCCAGACAAACCTACCTAGGTTTCACCTAAAACGGATAGGCTTGTCTGGCCTATATATATATATATATATATATATATATATATATATATATATATATATATATATATATATATATATATATGTGTATATATATGTGAGTGCAAAAAAATATCTGCACTTTTACCATAACATATCTTTAGACAAAAGTGTGGATAATTATGGACTTTCCTTCATATATATATATATATATATATATATATATATATATATATATATATATAGGTGGTTATTCAAAAAGAATGAACTGATTTCATGACACATTGCTTCAGTTCTCAATGCATCATCATGAAATGAGTCAGTGACCATTTGAAAGAGGAGTTTTCTAAGTTTTGAATGGTTGCCACAGAGGCACTATAGTTGCATCATATCTCTGGGGTAGCATTCAGTTGTTTACCCCTGGAATTGTGAGTCCTCAGTAAAAGGCGTTCTGCGTTCTCAAGTGAAAAAAAATATCGTTGTCACCATGCAGCATGCTTTTCAAAGGCAATTCAATATTAATCTGCTTTCTCCTAAGAATATTTGATTGTGGTTTAAATACTTTCAAGAGAGTCAGTGTCTGTGTAAAGGAAAATGTCCATGATGAATATGAGTTTCAGAAGAACAAGTGGCGAGAATCCATGCTGTGTTTGAGGGGAGTCCACGGAAATCGACAAATTGAGCTTGCCGTGAGCTTGCAATCTCCCAATCTACTATTTGGAATATGCTAAGAAGACGTCTACATTTGAAACCTTACTGACTACACTTTGTTCAGGTACTTACCAAGACTTTGCTCTTTGTGCTTGGTCTGTGAAATCCCCCATACCTCACTGTGTGTGAATTTTTTTTGTGGTGATATGTAAAAGATTGTGTTTATGTTCCACCACTACCCACTAACCTCGATGACCTTAAATATTGAATAACAACAGTGATCAACTCAGTGGATCAACTGATACGCATCTGGGAGGAATTCTCTTATGGCATTGATGTTGCTCATGCTGCAGGTGGTGGCCATATTGAACACTTGTAAGACAGGAAATAAAAGTTGATTGTGAGTAGAATACTTGTGACCTGGCTGGAATTTTCTAGTGTTTTTCCTTATTAAAATATTGTGTAATGAAATCAGTTTATTCTTTTTGAATAAATACGCTAAAATTCACCTTTATCCCTGCCGTGCGCCGACGACTTAGTGGTAGAATCTCCGATTGACACCAATTTAGTCGGGTTTCGATCCTAGCTAGAGGCAACTGGATGTCTAGCCATACTGAAGAGCTGCGAAACAGTCTGTCTGTGGATGACTTATATATATATATATATATATATATATATATATATAGCTTAGGTTGCTGGAACTTAGAATACACCAAATGCATTCCCTGTAAAAGGGTTAGAGCCTTCAAAAGGGGACTACCTTCTGAGTGAGAACTGACAGACTTGGGTATAAGCTTGACCTATGTCTACTTTTTGAGCCTAGTGTAAATTGGACCTGTATTTACTTATCTATTTATTCATTCTGATTTTGTTTTTACTATGGCTTATATTTGACATTAAATAACCCAATATGCCAGTAAATTAATCAACCAATAACCAGAAGTGTTGAAAGTACAAATTTCTTGAGCTTCTTTTAGTTTTGAAGTATTGTAAAGTTCACAGTTTGTAAATTTTATCCTAATAAGCTGAATTTTATTCCTTTGCAGCTTTGTGTTAAAGATGCTGTATTTTCCTTTCTTCCACGGATGAGGTATGGTTTATATTACAACATGCCTTTGGTAAGTCAGACAATATTCTTTTAAGGTGTGTATAATGTTGCAAAAATTTCAGTCTCTTACAACAAAATCTTGAATTGGTTGCAGTTACATAACTTCTTTTTTTATTTACTTATTGATCATAATTCTGGATGTTTAACCTCAAATCATTTAAGTTGGACTTCATGGTAGACATTTAATTGAACGATCTGTTTACTGGTATGGAAAATGAATTGATGAACAGAGTTCAAGTTTTGGTCAGGGCTGGTTGCATTTATTTCACACTAATATCCTTAGGAAAGGCATGAATCAGCTTCTCTCATTAGTTATAAGTAAATAGCAAGGCAGAATGGTTTCTCTTGCCTTGGTTGGAAACCAGTCTAGAATGATAGTTCTAATTCCAAACCAGGAATGAAGCCTCTAAAGCAGTTTGGTATTATAGAAAAGAACCAGATCACCACAAAAAGACTTTGTTTAGGATGTGTCTGGTGTAGGTAAGAGTTGTGTTCTTTTGTATAATTGGCTGTTTGGAGAAAGCAGTCTCTCAACATGGATAATATTACTGCTAAATTTGCATGGCAGTTGTTGTGCTTATTTGGATAAGAATAGTGATGTTTGGTCATCAGCAAATTGCAGTGGATCTGTGCCTGTGGCTACAGGTATATAAGGCTGACATTTTTAAGTGTCGTCAGGTGAATCGTTTGGTGCTGATGGTTGGGAGAACACTACTTACATCCGTGACGGTTCATTTTGCTACACCTTGAATATTTGATGGTTGGTTGTGCTACACTTTGGATGTTCAGCTGTTGGTTTGTCTAAACATTGAATTTGTGACTTTGGTTTTGCTAGAAGTAAAACCATATCTCCTTTTTGGTAACTTTTCTAGGCCAAAATAGATTGCCTGTTTTAATGTTTCATTATAGAAGGGGGGACCTTGGAGGAAGAAAGAGTGATGATTATCATTGTGCAACTTCCCATTTTAAAAGCACCAATAGATAGGTCACTGTAAAATCTATTTTGCACAATTATGGACATCACTTAAAAGATGACCACTCATGAATGTCTATATAAATTTCTCTACTTGTTTATACCTTCTGTTCATGTTGTGTCGGAAACCTACCACCCCTCTTGAAGATGAACTCGTCTGCGAACAAAGACTTTAAATAGTGGCATGTCATTTGACATGGGGGGAAGACAGATAGACAGAGAAGTTCTTAGCTGAGCTAGTTATTGACTACTCGGGTGATTTCTGTACCTTTTTACCAACCTATTAAAACCCTTTTTATTGTTACATGTTATTTGGCGTTTGTCTCTACTAACCCCAAATCAACATCATAACAGTTCATGAATTTATTCATGCTGGACAAATATCAATTTCTCTTTTGTCATTTTGAGAAGATTAATCATCTTTCCAAGAATTACTTGCCCTGTTGAACTTGTTTTTTTTTTTTATAGCTTTTGTTTTTGGTACCCTGTTTCAGGTCAAACCATTCTACATCCTTCTTCAGTTGTGAAATCTATAAAGAAAGAGTCAAGGCTTTTTTTCTCTAGAAAATGGTAGCAGATTTACTAAGATGATTCCAAGCATTTTAAGCCAGTCAATAAGGAAAGAGTCAAGGCTTTTTACTTTTTTAAGATTTTATAATGTGTATTAAGAATAGAATATTTAAACTTAAAAACTTTCAGTTTCTTTACAAATATTCAAAATTATTCACTATTTTAAAACATTACTGAGATGGGAGATATGGATTGTATATTCCAAAAAAGTTGATGACTTCTTAGATGAAATCTTCTGGAAATAACAAAATGGGTAACTGTCCAAAAAACCCTTAGAATTTCTTATGTTTTTCAATTTTTTTTATGTATGTCTATTACATTATTATTGACTTATTTTAAAGTTATATCACATGATTGTTTTCTGTTTTTAAGGTTCCAGGTTGTACAGGAAGTCGTTTGGTACGAGCCTTTTCCCAGCATGTCTTGCATCGGCTAAATGTGACCCAACTAGGTCCTCTGGTGGGTAAATACATTTTTATATATGATTTCATATTGTATATATTGACTATTAATTTATATAGGAAAGTAGGAAAAAGGGTACAATTTTGAAAAGCCCAGTGGTGATCAAATGCTATCAATAATTGTTTTTTTTTTTTTTTTTCATTGATTGGTATTGTTAATATTATGTTCCTCGTGAATGATATATAACTAGCCTCTATTGTTTTTTTGTCTTTTATAATCCTGGCTTTCACTTCATCCTGCTTCATGAGATCCTAGTTTCTGCTCCCTCTTGATTTGCATGATCCTAACTTCTGCTCCTTTTCCTACTCTATGTGATCCTAGCCTCTGCCCGTTCTCCTTCGTGCGGTCCCGGCCTCCGCCCTTTCTCCCTCGTGCCTCACATGATCCTGGCTTTTTTCCCCTCCTCTCCCATGTGTGCCACTTTTGAGAGGTGGGGATATTATATAACTTCATAAATTAACTTAGTGCTAATTTAAAAGTCTTTGTTAAATTTAAATAGGACATATTTTCTTTAACTTGTGAGAAATCTCTCTTTTTTTAAAGAGCAAAAGAAAAACTTTTTTAAATATTTCTACTTGTTTTGTAGCCAGAAAAGATTCGAGTCACTTTGTTGTCTAGAAGCACGAAATATCGAAGGATTCTTAATGAAAATGAAGTAAGTATTTTATGTTTTTAATTTTTGGTTTAAATCATACATTTTTATTTATTAAATATAAGCACAACTTTTCAACTTACAAAAAAAATAATTGAAGAACAACAGAAACTTAGTAAGACTACAACTTTTATTTGTATTAATAAAATATATGAAAAGATAAAACAATACTTTTACTGTTCAACTTTTGTCTGTTTAGTTCCAGTCAGGCTTTCTAAACAAATGTCAAATAACCTAGTTTATGAATTAGGATAAAGATAACAATCACCTATTGTACTTGGATGTCCCTCCAGAATGAAGAAATGCCTACAAGAAAAGAACTCTAACCCACTTACATTACTTTTCTGTGCCAAGAAAATCCCATTTCATAGATTTACCATAAATTCAGTGCTTTAACTCAATTTGATTTTGGTTTTGTTTAAAAAATAGAATTTATAAAAGTGATATTGAAAATGGCATGGCTATCAGTATTTAGAAGATAAAATATATTAGTAGTTACAGAGATGCATGATGGAGTTATGGGTAGTGGCTTGGATTGTAGAGTCGGAGAGCCAAATTCAAATTGCAGTCACTTATGCACAGATATTCTAGGGGAAGGTATGAATCCATCTCCTCTCCTCCCAGCTAGGGGTTAAATAGCAGGACTGGGTCCTATAGCCTTAGGTAGTAACTGGTCTAAGAAAAGGACAACTCTGAATTAAAAACCTCCAACTATGGGTTAAATAGCCTCACCAACCTGTAATTGGACAAGCATGGTGAGTACAGTTATACTCCTGAAGACATAGTCAATCAGGGAGTGGTTCCTCTGACAGGAGTGAGTAGGCCCTGGATTTGGAAGTAATCACAAAAGAATGCTTATATTTCTTCTTCTTCTTCTCAAGCAAGGCGGGAAGCCACTAGAACGCAAGGGATTACAGAAGATTTGGAACAAGATCAGATAGGAAGGATAGTGGATAGATCAAGGCAACTGGAGATGTCGATTGACATTACATTTGAATAGCTGGAGATTATAGCTCTCAGGGAAACTGGAATAGGTAAGGGAGTTCCACAGGCGAGAGGTGCGAGACATGAAGCCATTGGAGTAGAAGAGACAGCTACATTTAGTAGTTTCTACAGTGAAAGGGTGAGAGCGGGATGCCAGCATCGTAGGGCGCTTGAATTCATGAAGTCTGGGAACCAGCGAATGCAGTTCCTCTGAGCAATTACCGTGAAAGTATTTGTAAAAAGACAGAGGTGACGGCACGTCTGTGAGAGAGCAACTGTAGACAAGATGCCAGAACAGGGCCAATTATATTACATATCCACCTCTGGAGCTTATCAAGAATCCCAAGGCAAACAGAAGGGGCTCCAGACCATATATGACAGCAATACTCCTTGTACATTGAACTATCTTTCACTAGAATGCATGGCAATACACAGATAAGACATGAATTTATAGAGTCATGATCATTTGTCTTGACATGGCATTAAAAAAAAATAAAAAAATAAAACAGACTTTTCTGGTTAATCAGTATAAAAAGATGAAGAAAGATTTAATTGAAAATGTAAAATTTAGCTGCCATTAAACATTATTAAATTTTAAACCATTTTTTTTTTAATTCTGTTTTTTAAAACTTTACTGATTTTGTTTCCTCCATCTCTTTCTAAATCCTCAAAGCCTAATCACAAAATTAGCATCACCCATTTCCTTTGCCATTTTACATTATAGATCATTTACTTGTGTTTATTTACAGTTAATTTCTGCCTTGAAGACGATTACAGAATTTGAGGTCCGAGTTGTAGACTTTGATGCCAGGTAAATATTGTTTTTTTTAATCACTTTTGGAAACTACATTTTTATTTACATATTAAGCCCTGCAAAGATCAGTATTAATGAAAAGAATTCCTCACTATCCAATCTCTCAATTATCTGGATTCTATTCCAGAGACATTAGTATATACCCTTCTCACTCAAAATATGTCATTCCAAAAAAGATTCTTGATATGACACATTTATCAGGTGTTACAGCAGTCAATAGTATGTTATCTTTGGTTTCTCTTTTTTTCTGTGTGTGTAAAGGGTAGTTTTTTTTATTTTTTTTATTTTTTAACTATTTTTGTGTAATTTCAGTATTCATTGAATACACATGAGATATTTTAACTGCTATCTTTTCCTATTTTAGGTCAATGTCCTTTCAGGAACAACTAAATGTAAGTTACTTAGGTTTAATTTGTGTTTACTTGCATTTCACTTGTCTGATAATGTGCTATTCAGATAAACCTTTTTTATTTAACATTTGGTACAAGGTCTTTTTGTCATGGGATCTAATCCCACCTTTGTACTTATAATATAGTTCAGTCTAAGGATTAGGAGGCATGGTGGTGTAATGGATAGCAATTCGGATTGAGGGATTGAAAAGCCAAATTCAAATTCCAGTCAAATCCATTACATTCACTTATGTGCTAATACCCTTAAGAAAGGTATGAATCCTCTTCATCACCCACCCCAACCATGGGTAAATAGCAGGACAGACTGGGTTCTATAGCCTTGGATGGCAACTGGTCTACCACAGAAAGAAATGGCAACCTACTGTGGGGAAAAAATCTGCCTCGTCAGTCATGTATCGAAAGATACATGATCGCCTAAGCGTGTATCACACATGGCACATAACTGACTGACTACTATTATTATTATTAAAGTTTCTGTTAATAATATTAAAGAGTTTGGGAGTCATTTCTTCTGTATGGATTGAGTTAGTTAATTTTTTGACATGTCAACCCCTCTTGGGGTATTTGATGTTGGTAAATATTAGTTGTTTATTTTGAGTCAGCTAAACACTAACCTTAACAACTAAGACCCACCATACTATGTACATTGAATTGAACTATCTTTGCTTACTTCATATTCCATTAGTAACAGCTTCTTCCCATGAGCAGCTTGATTACGGAACAAACTTTCAAGAGGACGCTTTTCTAATCACTGCAGTATTAATCTTTTCAAGTCTATGGTTAATTGTTATTTTTCCTACATATCCTCATAAATTGTGCCTCTTATCTCACTCCTGCAACAAACACCTTCAGTAACCAGCAGCAAGGCCTTTTTGTTTGGGAGATCAGGAGGTTTTGAGGAGTGTGCAACCACTTCTTAATTGCTTTTATTCTCAGGTTCACCCTGATCCGGGGTGGTAGCATCTGTTAGGGTCCCAGCTATGGACAAATAGGGAACACCCAAACAAAAAAAAAAAAAACACTATGAAAGTATAAAAATACATATTTATAGTAAAAATACCAACAATATATTTTTGTATTAAAAAAAAAAAAAAAATGATCCACAATGCATCATTATAGCAAAATGACCAACAATACATTTTATAGCAAAATGACCAACAATACATTTAATCTGTTGTTGAAGGTATACATTTGTGCTCAAAATATTAGTTTAAGCCATAAAATTGTGTTTAAAATATTTAGCTTTTGGCATTAAATAACACATAAAATGAATATGCTGTTAAACAAAATCAACCAACCAACCTTCAGTAACTCTCTATCTTAAGTGGCACTTGAGCCTTGTATAGGGTGAACTGTTTAAAAAAAAAAAAAAAATCAGCTTTGTGACTCTTTGTTAATAGTGAGTTGCAAGTGGTGTGAGAATTAATTTTGAGACCATTTACACCTGCCAATCGTAATAGCCCAAGAATAAGAAACTTCAATTCTGCTTGTGTAATAAAAAAAAAAAAAAAATCAAGTATGAAACATTTGTACTTGTTTCAACTGTATCACAAATTTGCCTTTGTGTTTGGCATTAGTTCCACATTTAACACAAGGAAATTTGTATAAGGTAGCAAAGGGGGGGGATAAAATGGTACAAAGTAATTTTTAATTCTGATTTTAATGAAAATCTTGAGGTTTTTTTTTTGTTTTTTTTTAAATTTCTTCTGTTTGTATTTTTTTTGCATTTCATTTTTTGAGTTCTTTGCAGGTGTCTCTCAATTCTGACATTTTTATTGGTATGCATGGAGCTGGACTCACACATACCCTCTTCCTTCCAGATTGGGCTGTACTTTTTGAATTGTAAGTATTTTTCTCTTTATATTTATTACCCCTGTCTTTATTCATCTCACATTGTTCATATCTACTTAATGACCTATCAATTTATCACATTATCTTGAATCAACATCCTCTACCAAGTGTTCCAAGAAATAGGACTTGAGAAAAACTTTTTCAAAACAGAAACTATGATCTTCAACTGGAATGTGAGCAGTGATGACACCTACTCTGAATTTATCAAAAAATTCAGGATGTGAAATTAATAAATACTAAACACTTCAAATATGGTGCATGGATCAGTCAAAACAGATTTAGTATAGGAGATAAGGAAATTGAACACAAAATAAACGGTGCTAGGGTAGTTTTGCTCAGTGCCACAAGTTGCTACAAAACCCAAACATTAACCTAAGAACTCGAGCCCTGTTCTTAAATAGCCTTGTCTGACTACATGCATGGTGCCAAATTCATTCGGAAATTAGAAACTGTACACAACCGCTTTCTAAGGTTAATGATTAAAAATGGCTTTGAGCCTGTAGGTTTTCACGAGGACCATACTTCTTTGAATCTTGTGAATTAGTGCTAGAGAATCACAAAGAAAGAACTGTAAAAATAACAGAAACCACATTCCTTGTAGACTTTCAACAGCAGCAACAACTAAAATGGACGTCACATGTAACTCAATGGGAAAACAATGACATAATCAATATGTTGATGTTCTACACTATTTAAAACAAAAGTTTAGAAAGGAAACTCCCACCAATATTGGAAAGTTAGTAGACTTGCGAAACTTATTATTCAACTTTCAATCTGAGAAGGAATAACACTTAAACATTTGAAAAAGAATGACATTCAAATTTTTCATCAGTGTGTAGAAAAAGACTATTCAATAAATCCACTACCCACAACTTAAATTCTGACTAGGAAATGACTGCCTTGATTAAGTGGTTTTCCCTGTTGGCAATAACATTCATGATAGTAGCTTTCAACAACTCCTTGATATTGTGGGGAATGGGTTGGTTTCCCTCTGTATAAAAAAATGTTATAAAAATTAACTCTATTTTGATATTTACTATAATTATCAATATTATGGTAATTATCTCCAGATTTATCATGTTGTTATTGAACTTTAAATTTGCCTTATCAATTGCATTATAAATTTTTTTCATTTTTTTTTTTTTTTTTTTTTTTTTTAAGCTACAGTCAGTTCAATGTCAGATTTTTATAACAGAAATATAATGAATAAATTCAATTTTTCTTGACCTGCAACATTTTAAACAACCCAACAAATTTTACAAATCAAATTTCTAACTCTTAACATAGCAGGAGATTACAAGATTAATGTGACATGATGTAGAAAAGGATTCTGGGAAGGTGAAAATATTTTTCAGATGGAATTTCTGAAGATTGATTTTTTTTTTTTTTTAACCAAACTTCAAATCAATAATTAATTACATATCATTAATTTAGTTCTAATTTTTTTGAAGATGCAATAAATGTGATTCTTTTTCCTGCTTTTTCCAACTTATCTGCCAATTGACATGAATGTTAATTTTTCTCCCCAGGTACAACTGTGAAGATGAATATTGCTTTAAGGATTTGACCAATCTGAGAGGAGTTAAATATATAACATGGCAGGACAAAAGTAAACTGATTCAGGAAGATGAGGTTAGTTGATATTTCTCTTTGTGAATTCTACTTTTTGGTAAGTCAGGAGATATTTTATATTTTAGTATGAAAGGCCTATTTCGTGTGTCCATCATTCCATTGGCATATTTTATGCATTCATTGTTTGACTGGTATGTCATTTGACTTGTATATTTTGTGTGTCTGTCATATCACTTATTCATGGTTTCTTTGTGTACTTGTTCTATGAGTAGCATGTTTTGTGCTTTAATATTGTGATGTGTTTATTTTGTGCGACCATGCTGTGACTGGCATATTTTATGCATTTGTTATCTTTCTGGCATATTCTGTGAATTCATTGTTTGACTTGTATATGTCCTACAAGTGGCATATTTAGTATGTTTGTCCTATGACTTTCTTATGTGTGTTGTCCTGTGATTGACATATTTTTTATTTTGTATGTATGTCCCATGACTTGCTCATGTGTTTTCATTGATTCTTTTGTATATTTATTAAGTCTGTTGTCTCATTTCAGGGTCATCATCCAACATTAGGTGCTCATGCCAAATTTACCAATTACTCTTTTGATACAAAAGAGTTTATACGTCTCATGTTGCAGGCAGCTGATTACATTCTTGGTCATCCTGAATTTTGGAATGGTTATGCTCGCAAATACCAGTCAAAAGCAAAAACTGAACTTTGAAATTGGAGACAAAAATATTCATTGAACAAGCCCAGATTTCAGGATGTCCATATTACTGTTAATTTGTGTGGCTGTGATTGTATGGTATCCATCAAACTAAAAGTGTCGGTGTGGATTGCTGCATCAGTTATGTTAAATGATTCGGCAATCCACCACCACAAGTTTTTTTAATAATCAAATTTCATGAAAAGCACACCATTATTCAAAATAAATGTTTTGTTCCCAAGACTAAAGCATTGGTTTTCCCAGTGCCATTCTAGAATTTCTACAAACTGAAGAATACTTGTCTCTTAATTGCCAAACATATTCTTGTTACACTGAATCTACTGTATATTAGAGAGGACATAGTTTATATTAGAGCAACAGAAGTACAGTAATATATTTTCTTGTTATTACTAAATTTAAAATTTTCATGTTATTTACTAAATTTAGCATGGCCGCACGGATAGGGCACCTGGTTAGGAGTAAACTCAGTAACATAACTTTTATTTGATTATTTAGTGGTCTGTATGTGTAGTAATTGGCCATGAGTAAGTGTAATTGGCAAAATGCCCAATAAACAAAATTGAAAAACTTTTCAATAAACAATAAGAAAAAGAACAGGGCAAAATAATATGAAGCAAACATTAGATATGCAAATCAAAACTAGGGAAAGTAACAGTAATGAGGCAAAAAGTTCCCAAACTAAGTATGGTGTTCACAAGCAAAAGGAATACAGTCAAGTGGTTAGAACGTTCTGACTTCAAGAAAAAACAAAAATATGATGGATGAGACTGAGAAGTGTCTATTTTGGTTGATTAAAAAAGAAATCCCAGCATGCATCTGTAGGATATGTCTATAAATTTCAGGAGGGGGATGTTTTTAGCAGACATTTTAACAGGGATTGGAACAAAGATTGTGTAAAAAAAATAAACAAGATTAGTTTACAGATTTCACACTGTAAATAACCCTAATTATCAAAGAAATGAATATGACAATAACTTTGTTAAAAATTTAAAGTAAAAAAAGTTAGGAATTCTCACTCTCCACAAATATACTGATGTTTTTAACTGCTGAAAAATTGATAGTTTGTAAAAATATTATTTCATATTCAGCTTCATCTTATTTTTTTTTCTTGGTTAAGATAGTTAAAATAATAGTGGCGTCAAGGGAAAAAAAAACATACTCTGATTTTTTTTTTTTTTTTTTGCAGGTCAAGTTTGCCAAAAAGAGTAAATCATTCTAAGCTCTACCCAAACTCCACATAAATGGTAATAGCAATAGTACCTGTTTCCTTATAAGGAAACATTCATTGACTGAACAGCCAGTGTTATTTATCAGTTGAAATTTATTAAATCTTCCTTTTTTTAAAACAGTTTTTCAGACAAAAAGGTTTTTTATGTCCACTAGCTGTTATCACTCTTTCCAGTATTAATGGGGGCTTCATTGTTAACTTTTTTTTGTTTGAAATAGAGAGGAATATTAACATCTTGATTATGTTTTTATTTTCTCATTGAGTTAACATGTTTTTTTCCACTTTAGTTTTTGCTATTGTGATTAAAAAGAAAATAGAAAGTACACAAATTAAATAGCAAATGCATAAATAAAAAACAAATAAATAAATGAAGAAGTAAACACAGGCAAAAAAAAAAAAAACTCTGGTCCAGTAATATCATGCTCACTGGGATCATTAGCTTTCAGGTCATCAAACAACTATTTGGCCTTTGCATAAATTATCAATTCATTTATACTATCATAATTTCTTTTTTTTTAATCTCTACCAAAATTTACTTCATCTCTTCAATAAAATTTCTATTTCATTTACAAGGTTTGGTTATTCGATTTGACACCGGAACACTTTTTCATGTGGTGCAGAGCTTACAAACATATCACCAAAGTTAAGCAATATAGAGCCTGGTCAGTAACAAGATGTGTCACCACTTGGGAATACCAGGTGCTGTAAGCTTTGATTTGCAGATGATGTTATGGGTAATTGCTCAGAATGAGAAAGCGGATAGCTGAGTTTGTATTCAAATTGGATTCATTATATTCACTTTTGTGCAAATAGCTTTGGGAAAGGCATGAATCCATCTCTTTTCCTTCAGCTATAGTAGGACTTGTATCTGAAAATCATTACTATCTCTAAAAAATTGTTAATACAGTGTTCATATGCCAAAAAAAACCCCCAAAAACTTACAAACCAAAAATATTTGGCTTTAAATAACTTACAAAAGGTTGGTAAACCATAAAGAAATAATTCGCTCAATCAATGGTGCAGATTGTTGATTTTGCTATGCTATACTCCATACTAATTTTATTAGTGCTCATTCCACTTTAATGTTTAGAAAATATTTCTTTTTCTTCATTGCTTATATGCATTCATAATCTACTTTCAATTCATTATTCTAATTTCAGCTGATTTGGTAAATCTAATTTTCTTCAAAAAAAAGCCTTGATTATTCATTTTGTAAAAGAACCATTTTTATGTGTGTTAATCAATTGATTTGAAGAAATCACGTTAGGAATGCAATTTAATCAAATTTTATTTGTTTCATTAATTACAGAAAGCATGGGAAAATTAGGATTATCTTTTTTGTTTATGTTTATCGTAATATTTTAAAGTGAAATAATTTTGTCTTTTTTATTCAGACTATTCTTTATATTTTGTAAGTTTTTGTGAAATTTAAGAAAATGGCTTCCTCAAAGAAAGTCAAAATTGACAGATAATTATTTGTTTAAATTTCTTTATTTAAAATATTTTTAAAACCTTTTTCTTGATGTATTTGAAAATCTATATTATGAAAATAGCTACAGTTTTGTATGGACTTATTGACTGTTAGTAATATTGGTAATTGTTGAAGTTCATTACTAAAAATCCTGCTAAAAATGCATGTAAACTTTAGTGCCTTTAAGTGACTGATTTTTGTTGTTTGGCTTTTAGATTTTTCCAATGTCCTTCTCTGTAAGAAGAATTTAAGTTCTTGTCAAGGTATTTAATACTTGAGAATTCCAGATAAGATATCTTACAAGTTATTTCTTTGTGATGGATCATCTTACTATAAAAGTAAATCGGATGGTGATTCATGACAACTTGTAGATGGTGATGAAGGCAGTGGAATCAATGATTGCCAAAGAGTGGTGTGTGAGATATCTTGCAAGAAATTTTTTTGTTATAGATCATTTTATTCTGGCAGGAAATCATATAGAGATTCAAGACAATTCCTATGAAGGGATAAAAGCAGTTTGCTTAAACAAAGATATCCATGTCCTAAGTGATTAATTCTTATATATATATATATATATATATATATTTTTTACCAAAGACCTGAAATGAAATGATTTTGTGCCTTGTCCAATTTATCTTTATTGTTGTATTACTGGCATATCGCATTTATAGATGGAACAAATAATGACAATATAATTTAATTTTAATCTGACATAAATTTCAGATCCCCTAGGAGGATTAACAGCATCAAAAAAGAAAAAATATTTGCTCAATACCATTATTTATTTACTGTATATCCAATTAAACATTTGATATGAATAAGTAATGAAATCTGAAATCAATCAGAATTCTCCAAAAACATTGAACATGTGTCATTAATTTTATTTTAACTTAACATGATTATTAATCCTTCATGTTGTCTTAGATAAAAAATTCAAAATTTCTGTTTGCATGGAATGAGTAGTTATTGTTATTTTCGTTTGGACTAATGTCGTCATATTTGTCATTATTATCATGATGTTTCAGCCATTGTGTCCTTCACGTATCTGCCAATCTTCGTAACCTTCAGGAAATTTCAAACTGAACCCTTTATTCAATTTATGTGGACAGTGTTCTCCTTTGACTGTCTATATCTACAAATATTGTGTCTTTTTTCTTAAGTATTGCTCGCCCTATTTCATCTGAATCTAAGTCTGTACTACTTAGCATAGAGATTGAACTCATAATTACTACGCCACAAAATTTATAAACCAACACATTAATCCAATAAGCTATATAACAGTTGCATTTCAAAGCCATTTCAGAAAATACTGTTAATGTTTTTTTTTGAGGTTGATTTGAACTGTTTATATAATGGGGGCAGCATCACCTAACATCACCCCGCCAATTTAACTAAAAAGGCTTGGGTCAACCTTCCTAACTGGCACATGCTAGGATTGTTTTCCCAGGATGATATAAAAAAAATCACAATCTTGACCAATCACCATCCTGGGTATGATGATAAACTACGTCCAACAGCAAGACCTCTAATCAGGAGGTTTTGAGGAGCATGGAACCACCTTTTAATTGCTGGTGTTCTCAGGTCCACCCTGACTTGGGGTGGTAGCACCTGTTAGGGTCCCAGCTATGGGTAAATAGTTAACCTCCAAACTGAGGTCAAAACACTATGAAAGTGTAAAAATAGGTTTTGATATCAGAAATACTTTGTAAAAAATTATTACCAGCAATACACTTTTGAAAAAAAAAATTACCTGCAATAAAAATCTTGTCGGCATTAAATAACTCATTGTGGTTGATATGCCGTAAAACAAACTAAACCAGCTATACATTTTTAAAAAAAAAAATATATATTTACCTGCTATACATTTTTGAAAAAAATATTACCAGTAATAGATTTTTGAAGAAAAAAAATATTACCAGAAATAAAAATTGTTGTCTGCATTAAATAACCCATTGAGGTTGATATGCCGTAAAAGAAAATAAACCAAACCAATTGACCAATTAACTATAGTTAGAACCTGGGTCTTATGGTCAGAATGCTAACCACTCAGCTATTGAGTTTAGATTAATAGAATAAGTGTGTGTGGGTATGTACTCTGTTAGTACTTCTCTATATGTGGAAGATTGACATGCCTTGGAAATCAGCATTTGAAATCCTGGATTGTATCTGGACTCAAACATCGATCTTTAACATCAGTAGGAAATGCCTAACTCTTGGTCATGAGAAAGATCCTGATAAGTCCTATTTAAGTAGAAAAATGTGATAAGACAAAATAATACAATCTTGGGTGTCCAA